TAATATAGTAACATATAATGTATTAATATAGTAATATATAATATATTAATATATTTAACCAGAAGGTGACAGAAAGAGAGAGAAAGTGAGAAAGTAAGCCACCAGGTCCAGGACCTGAACCTTGGTAGACAATTTGGGAGTCCAGCATTTCAACTACCACGCCACTTGCCAGCCCTAAAGTCTGTATTTTAATTTTTTTTTTTTTAAGAAAGATTATTGCTATAGGGTGTGTGCATTTGCCTGAGAGACAGAGAGCGACAGAGACAGAAAGTGAGAAACCATCCCTTCCCCCAAAGGGATGGCCACAGCACAACCGCTTCTCCTCCAGTCTCCTCCGGAGATTTGGTCATGCACGCGGGCAGGTGTGAATTTTAAGCCACCAAGGCTAGAACTCGAACCGCGGGCAACTAATGCGAGTCCAGCGACTAACCTTTACGCCACCTGCTGATCCCAGGTCTGTATTTTTAAAAATGAAAACAAATACGGTCTATGCCCTACAAGGCTCAAGACGTGAGGACCAGGGTGCTAGGCTAGAAGGGAAAGGGCGTCCTTGGGGAACAAGGACACCTTGAGCGAGCCAATGAGCGCAGAGTGGGCGTGGCCGGGTGGGGCTTAGAGGCTGGAGCCACGCCCATAACTGAGGACTATCGAATCACATTTCATAGCGGAGCAGAGGAGCCTCTGCGTGCAGGTGCCTTGTCTGAAATCAAACTGCCTAAGGACACTCGTACACCTACCCACTGCCTGCCAGGGTAACTGCGCGGGAGACACGGACACGCATGGGACTGGCCTTGCTCCAAAAAGACAATGGGCTGAGCCCCGGACACAGCTGAAGACATGTGTTAAGTGCTACCGCCAGGACCGGAGTCCTCCGCTGCGGGAGCCTCCCCAAAGCGCAGCTGGCCCTTGGATGCCCGGCGGACCTATGAAGGTTAAGAGGACTCGCACGGTCTGACAACGGGAACTCCATGATTTGCATCAGACATCCACAGGACACCCGGGGGTGGGGGGGGAGCCCACGCCACACACTCAAGTGGTCACGCTAAAAGGTTTCACATGTAAATTTTGCCACCCTTAAACCACATCTTTGCCAGTCTTCTGTGGATGGGGGGGGGGGCAGATGGATACTGGGAGACGTGCACACGCACTGGGCGTGAGGTTTTTAAGTTGCCGGGTCCAGAACTCGAACCGCCGTCGGCTGTGTGTGAGTCCAGTGATGTAACTGTTATGCCATCTGCTGGTCCTGTAATGTTAGGTTTTTTTATTTCCCACAAATAGTTTTGGAAAAACAGTCTTTTTACGCTAAACTCCTTCCATTTAGGAGAAAGCTTGTGGAAAAACAATGAAAATGATGAAAGTTTGAAGACCCTTTCTCTATTAGAAGTCATCTTTCAAACATATTGAGCTCAGGTGTTCTTTCACTGAAATCTGATCTCACTCCTAAAGGCATGCATGTGCACACTCACACACATACATGCACACACAGAGCACGTGTACACGTGTGGTACAATGTGGTGTCCAGAGAGACATGTGGATACCATGTTCTTCTCAGCTCCAGTCACATGATTAGAAAGAAATACAAGCCATGCTGTTAATATTGAAGTATCTTTTTTTTTTCGGGTCTACAGTATTTTATAACAGAGAAACGAGGCTGCAATAATCAAAGTATCTTTCTTCAAAAGACTACAGAAGCAATACCCAGAAGTTCCAGTCCCTAAGTCTCTCTTATACACGTAAATTTGGGGCATTGCTTCTGTATAGACATTCCCATTCCTGAGTCTACAAAAACATACTAAAACTTAGCCAAGAAATAGGTTCATAATGAACATTATGAAAAACTCTGTATAGTTTTCCATTTCTTTGTATAAACTCTTTTTCAATGACCTTTCAAAATTTTCTCATAGAGGTTAGCATTCAAGGCAACACATGGAAATAAAAAGAAGATGCATAACAGTTACGTCACTGGACTCACACGGCTGATGGCGGTTCGAGTCCTGGACCTGGCAACTGAAAAACCTCACACTAGGTGCATGTGCATTTGTGTGTGTGTGTGTGTGTGTGTGTGTGTGTGTGTACGCGCTCACCCAAAATCCTAAGAGGAGAATGAAGAAGGGATTAGGGTGTGGCCATTCCCCGGGGAGGTGACCTCTCGCGTTCTGTCTCTCTGGCAATGCACACATGCCCTACAGCAAAAATCTCTCAAAAACAAACAAACAAACAAAAAACCGAAAAGCTGAACTTTTGAAGTGATGTGTTTCCATACTCTGCAAGTGGGGGGCAGGGTGTGAGGGCAGGAGGGGCCAGAAAGAAGCTAGGAAATCTTGTCTAACGTAGACTTACCTACACCATGCCCCACTTACACAAAAGCAGCACCCTTTTTTTGACATAAAAGTATCTGTTAAAGCAATAGTTTTAGCTATACCCAAAGGTTGTTCTTTAAAGTGCTTTGTTTTACATGAGGTAGCAAAAAAAAAAAAAAAGTATTTTTTCAACACTAAGTGACTTGGCTCAATCTAACAAGTTAGCATCTAGGGCACAGTTTGCAAGCCTCCTTACTTTTCCATAATTTATGCTATTTCAAAGTAATAGCAACAAGACTGACTGACTTTTAAGCGCATTCAAAGGAAGTTTTAGTAATGTCCCAGAATAGATGTGTAGAGGCATGTAGGTAGTTTAGAAAGTTGTAGGTAGTTCAAAAGAGAAAACAGACAGCATA